TCTATCAATGGCAGTATGTTTCAGCATGGTGCTTCCTTAGTAGAAACGCCATAAAACCCGGCAAGTTCTCTACTCTATTTATGAGTGTACCCCCCCAAAATGAAGACTGAGACACAAACAGATATGGGCATACCCGTGTTTGTCACAGTGCAACCGGAATAGCAAAATGTCAGCAATGACCAAAATGCCCGTCTGTGGACGAATGGAGAAAGAAATTGGTGCGTGCAGACAGCGGGACACCAGGAATCCCTGAAAACAACGATGGGACTGGCAGACGCCGCATGACATGGACACATCTGTAAGCCCAGCTGTGCGAGCCTCGCTCATAAAAACAAAGGTTGCCTTCATCTGGACCACTATTATAAAAGACAAGGACAAGGAAAACCGTCTCACACCAAAAGAAGCAAACGTTGAAGATGACAGAGAGGCCAGGCGGAAGAGGAAGAGAAAGTGGGGGAACACACAGGGAGAGGGAAAAACACAAATCCATCGAAGCGCTGTTGCTAGCTACCAGGGAGTTGCAACTGGTATGCTATGGAACAGAACTGTACTTCCTACGGCTTTTCTTAGCTGCGGCCTTAACTGACCCCACTTGACTGTCAGTCTGTCCTACTGTGGCGGCTTGCATCTGGCTGTGATTCTAGAAGCTTGATACCATTGGTATTTCAGATACCAGCAGGGTCATTTATAGTCAGCAAGGTTCCGTAGAGTTTCCTGGCTAAGAACAACTAGAAAGAAAAACAAATCAGTCCACGTCTTAGAGATTTTCAATGTTAGTAAGTGCCCTGAAGTTCCGTTCCGATTCAGAGCGACCCTGTACACAAGAGAATGAAACACTGCGTGGTCCTGCACCCTCCTCGCCATTGTTACGTTGGAGCCCATTGTGGCAGCACCGTATCAATCCATCTCATTCAGGGCCTTCCTCCTTTTCAATCCCCTTCTAGTTCACCAGGCATGATGTTCTATTTCAGGGAGAACAGGTCCAAAATGAATGAGCTGAAGTTTCACCAGCCTTGTTTCCAAGGAACATTCTGACTAGATGTATTTCTTCCCACACAGATTTCATTTTTCTCTTGTAAGTCCATGGTACCGTCAATATTTTCCACCAGCACTCTAATTCAAATGCACCCCTTCTCCTTTAATCTTCTTTATGCACTGTCCAACTTTCACATGCATGTGCGGTGATTGCCAATGTCATGGTGGAGGTCAGGTGCACCTTAGTCCTTGTTTCTCAGCAATGTGCAGCAGATTTACCCTGCGCAATGCATTTTTTTAACTTTATTTTGTTTAGCATGAATTTGATTAGCATGAATTTCTGGCAGCAAGATGAAATCCTGGATCACTGCGATCTCTTCTCCATGTATCATGCACCAATTGTGAGGCTTTTGATTCTCTTTACATTGAGGTCTAATCACTGATGGGATTAAGATCATTTAACCACTGGTTCGCTGCCCTAATAATGGTCTTAAGTATTTTTTAAAAAGTGATATGCTGAAAGGCAGTTTATTATTTCATGCAGTTAATACTTAAGTCAGAACAATAAAAGAGATACAAAAAATTAGATTATATTATAAGAAAGTGTGCAAAACATTAATGAAAAATAATAATAAATAATACCTGCCCAGCTGCCCACCATAGAAAAGACCATGATTACAAGTGCCGTTTTAACAATGGGTTAGTTGGCAACAACGAAACGTAAGGTATCAGTTCTGCTGACCTAGTGCAAACTGACTGACTCCCACCCTCGGCTGCAATCTCTGCTGAAGGCTGCAATCCTTGATCTCCTCCAGCACGTGGCTCCAGTCCTTCTCAATCGTAGCATGCATGCTGTGTCCTCTGCACATCGCAGGCTGTTAATAAGCCTTCTTTCGATCCTGATGCTCATTCTTCCTTGAGTAGTCCAGCTTCTGTTACTATTTGCTTAGCACAAAGATTGAAGAAGTACGAAGAGAAGATCCAACACTGACACCCACTTTCCTGACTGTACACTGTGCACTCGTCCCTTGTTCTATTCAAACGATTGCTTCTTGGTTCCACGTGAGCACAAGGAAGTATTCCGGATGTCCCATTCTTTGTAATGCTATCCATAGTTTGTTATGATCCTCGCAGTCAAGTGCTTTTGCTTAGAAAATAAAGCACAAGTAGACATTTTGCTGGTATTCTTCTTCTTTGAGCCAACACCCATGTGACATCAGCAAGGCTATCCCTTGTTCCATGTCCTCTTTTGAGTCCGGCTTGAATTTCTGGCAGCTCCCTGTGAATTCACTGCTGCAGCTACTGTTGATTCATCTTCAGTGATATTTGAGTGGCATGTGATAGTAATGATATTGTTCTATACTTTGTGCATTCTGTTGGGTCACGTTTTGGGGGGGTTGGTACAAATACGGATCACTTCTAGTCAGTTGGCCTGGTCGCTGCCTTCCAAATTTCCTTTCCTTTTTTTTTTTTTGCCTTCCAAATTTCTTGATATAGATGTGGGAGCTTACAGTGCTTCATCAGCTGGTTGAAACATTTTAATTGGTATTCCACCTATTACTGGAGCTTTGTTTCTTGCTAATGCCTTAAGTATAGGTATAAGAGCATTGGTGGTGTAGTGGTTACACGTTGGGCTATTAACTGCAAGGTCAGCAGTTCAAAACCACCAGTCAGCACAGCGGGAGAAAGAAGGGACCTTCCACTCCTGTAGAGAGTTATAATTGGAAACTCTACTCTGTCCTATAGGGTTGCTTTGAGTCAGAATTCACTCAGTTGTAGTGAGTGTAGTGTAATGTGGACGTTTTCCTCCAGTACCATCAGGTCTTGATCAAATGCTGCCCTTTGAAATGGTGGAATGTTGACTTTTCAGTACAGTGATTCTGTATCTTCCACCCTCTTTTGACATTTCTTGCATCATCCAATAGTCTGCTCATAGACTTTTTAAAATTAAAAGATCATTTTGGGGCTCTTACAGCTCTTATTACCATCCATATATCAATGGCACCAGGCATGTTTGTACATAGGTTGCCATCCCTCTTTTCCAGATAATTACTTTCTATTCAGCCCTTGGTATCAGCTCCTCTTTTTCCCTCCCCCACCTGATCCTTGTGACCCCTTGATAGATTATAAATTATTATTATTTTCATATCTCACACCAACCACTGCTTTTAATATTGCAGCTGAATGCTCCAATTTTTACCTTTACTATTTTTTCAGCTTGAGATATGCTGAACGTACCCTTCCTTTTCGGTTTGCTAACTCCGAGTCTCCGCACATTTCTTCAGCATGCTTTATTGTGTCTTCTCTCCCCGCCATTTGAGGTGGGTTTCTTGCTCAGCTGGAGAAGATGCCCGAGGGACGAGCCTCTGGGCACCACGTGAACAGCAGCCTGCAGTGAGGTGACTGCAGAAGTGGGCTCCAACACACCAGCTACTGTGAGGAGGGCAGAGGCTCAGGCAGTGTGCGGCTGTGGAGCGAGCGCTGACTGGATGGCACCCAACAGCAAATCTCCAGGGAAGACACAGACTGCCAGGCCTTTCTTCAGCAGCACCCCTGGGTGGCTTCACACGGCCAAACTTTCCATTAATAACTGATCAGAAAAAAACAAACAAACCACCCTCCAGATTCCTTACCCCTCTGATCTAATTATCTAATTATTGGTCTGAGTGGCTGCAAAGGGAGGAAGAGTAAAACCGAAGTGTACTTAGAGTTAAAAATGATAATAATTTTAAAACTCAAAAATTAAGAGGAGCCCTAATGGCACTGTGGTGAAAAGGTTGAGGTGCTAACCAGAAGTTCAAATCCCCCAACCAGCTGTGTGGGAGCGAGTTCTCTGGAAACCCCCCTTCCTGAAGACCTCGCTTGCCCTGGCCATGCTGCCTTATCAGAGCCTGATGAGCGGGGACTGGTGAGTTCTCCCGCTTGGGAATGGCATCTTAGGAGAAGCAACAGATGGAGAGCAGGCATCATTTAGAACCACGTCCTGACTCACCTCGCTGTGACACAGGAGGGAGCCCTTCCAAGCGCTCCCAGGACAGGGCTGGCATCAGCGATGCCAGGCCCTAAAGCTGTGTTGCTGAAGCCATAGGAAAGGAGAAGTTACCAGCCAGCAAACAATTCCTTCCTTTTCTCCGCCAGGTGATTGCTCATGAAGGTCCCTGGACCAAAGGACCTAAGGAGCCACCTGTCTGTGTGGGACTTTGCTTTCTGATTATTGCTAACAGAGAAAATCAATTGCTCCTGGAAGCGTGCTAGAATCTCTGGACACAAGATGCTCCACAAATGGAAGACATTTTATAAATGTTATTATTATTACTCGAGACTTGACTCCGTCATGAGATAAATCACAGCCCCAGAAGAATGCAACAAGGGACACCAGGTTTCCCCGGGGGCAACTCCGATCAGTTCATTTCCCATCGGCGCACAGGAGGCAGCATAGCGGCCAGAGCTCCCGCTTCGGTGATTGGGAGCCTGTTCTCACTGAGTAGTTAAAGACAGGCGCACAGGCCGGCCCCAGGTTGGGAACATCTGACTCACAGCAACTCGTCCTTGCCCTTGATCATCACATAAGTTTGCCTTTCCTTTGAAAGAACTGAGTCAACACCTACTCACAACAAATTCTTCATCAAAATCACCCCATGCTGCACATACAGCTTTGAAATAAAAGGCCTTTCCTGCACTAACCCCAAATCCAAACAAAACCCACTGCCACTGAGTGGATTCCAATGAATCAGAAATCTATTTAGGGTTGCCAAGGCTCTAAATTTTTATAGGAGTTTCTAACCTCATCTTTCTCCTGTGGGCTGGCTCGTGGGCTTGAACCACCAACCTTGCAGTTAGCAGTCCAACACTACGCCCCTGCGCAGACTTACTTATACATTTGGCTTAAAGACACACACAGGAACAAATTTTGTTTGCAACCTAGGAACTGCCGTCAAAGGCAATTATGGACACCAGGCGGAACCTCACACTTAACATTACTCCATTATAGTAAACAGAGAGTGATTTCTTCTTTTTGTTTACAGAACTACGCAAAACTCATTCCTGGAGCTACGGTGGGGCTGCTCCAGAAGGACTCGGGAAACATTCTCCAGCTGATCATCTCGGCCTATGAGGTACGATATTTGACCGTCGGCTGCTCTTTGCATTTCTTTGGTATTCAAAATGAAAATTTGTTTCTGGCCGTTCCATTCCGTTCACTTTCATTGTCCAAAGAAAGTCTTTCTGCACTAAGGCAGCCCCGATATAAACCCGGTGCCCTTGATGGGAAGATAATCTCCTTGAAAGGTGGAAGAATGGGTAGAAAAGTTCATAAACCCGATTATAAAGTTTGAGTGGTTTTTATAATACGAATCAGAAGCAGCACCCACATGTGGGAGACATTTACGTCTACTCAATTGGCCCCATGAGTCACACAATGGAGCTCCTCTTTTCTCTGCCTACGAAAAAGTAAGCTTCACTTGCCAAGAAGGAAGAGAGCTAGGTGGAGAGCACACCCCACCAGTCTAACAAGACGCGATCATAACTCAAGTAAAACATGCAAATCTGTGCTCGGCACCCAAACACCAGAAGTCACCAAGAACACCACTTTTACGCTCTCTTTGGTGAACCCAGGAGCCTTGGTGGCATAAAGCTTAATGTATCAGGTTGCAACTCACAAGGTCAGCAGTTCAAACCCAGCAGCCAGCTCTAAAGGAGAAAGAGAAAGCTTTCTGTTTCCATAAAGATTTGCATAACCTTGGAAATCCTAGGGAGCTGTCCTAATCTGCCCTATAGGACCACCATGAGTCCGACTTTGGTTTGGTTTTAGTGAACCAGGGGGAGTTTTCATTAGTTTTATAAGTATGCATACAATTCTTTGTCCCAGTTTTTAAATTAATAGATACAGACCGAATTCCTTATTTAAAATATGATATGCACCTACAAGGCTTCTATAATGTCCTCTTTTTTTGAAGACATAGTCTTTATTATCATTTTATTTCTCCAATTTAAATTTTAATAGAGAGTCAACCTTCAATCTAACTAGGTAAAAATAGAAGTAAAATTCCTTTTACATTCTTTATGTACCATATCATTGTAACTTTTTATTATTAAAAGATGATTTTATTGGGGGCTGTTACAGCTCTTATAATAATGCAAACATCAATTGTATCAAGCTTATTTGTACATATGTTGCCATCATTATTTTCTAGAAACATTTACTTTCCATTGAGCCCTTAGATCAGCTCCTCCTTTTCCTCCCCTCCCCACTACCCTCATGACCTGTTGGTAAATTATAAATTATTATTATTTTCATATCTTACACTGACCGCTGTCTTCTTTCCCCCATGGTTTCTGGAGTGGGGTAGTCATGTGTCAATCCTCTCCCCACCTTCCCCAACGTCCTCTTCCTTTGTCCTCATTTCATTACTTAATTAATCAGCAAGCAATGGCCACTTGCCTACTCTTTTTTGTTTGGGTTTCTAAATATCATCCCATTCTTCGACCTTGACCGCCAAAGGGGGAACACTCTATAAAAACAAAGGAGATACTCTAAATTAGGACAGGAACCAAAAAAGGAGAATTGTATAAGTTGTAAACGGCTAATACTTGTGCACTCACTGCCATCCAGTCAGTTCTGAGTCACAACGACCCACTGTGGGTTTCTGAGACTGTAACTGTTTATGGGACTAGAAAGCCCCGCCTTTCTCCATGAGAGTGGCTGGTGGTTTTGAACTGCCGACCAGGTGGATTGCAGCCCAACTAGTAACCACTGCAACACCAGGGATAACCAATGAGTAAGTTGTCCTTTTTTTTATGTTTTAAAATTACAAATAAATGATCCATATGCTGTATATGCTAATATTATATGCTGAGCCAGTGTTGTTGTTTTAACTAAATGACATATCAGAATCACTTGGGAAGCTCTGTAAAAATAAGCATATCCATTGGGCCTGGACTTGACTCAAGGACTCCCTCAACACAAGAACACTTTGTTCTAACAATCCAGTGTTCTGTGATGTTCACCTTCCCAACACAGTCACTGAAGACAAAATGCTTGCATAAGTAAATACGGTGAAGAAAGCTAATGGTGCCAGGTTATCAAAAGATATCGCATCTGGTGTGGTAGTTACATAATCTGGTGTAACACATCTGAGGTCTTAAAGGCTTGAAGATAAGCAATCAGCCATCTAGCTGAGAAGCAACAAAGACCACATGAAAGAAGCACACCAGCCTGTGTGATCATGAGGTGTCAATGGGATCAGGTATCAGGCATCAAAGACACAGAACAAAAATCATACCAATGTGAATGAGGGAGGCAGGCATGGAGTGGAGACCAAAAGCCATCCATCTGTAGACAATTGGACATCCCCTCACAGAAGGGTCACAAGGAAGAGACGAGCCATTCCCGGGGGCAGTATAGCACTGATGAAACATACAACTTTCCTCTAGCTCTTTGATGTTTCTTTCCCCCGCCCCCGCACTATCATGGCCGCAAATCCGGCTAGACCAGAACATGTACACTGCTACAAATAAGAGTTCACAACACAGGGAATCCAGGACAGATAAAACCTCAGGACCAATAATGAGAATAGAGATACCAGGAGGGGAAGGGGAAGGTGGGGGGAGAAAGGGGGAATTGATCACAATGATCTACATATAACACTCCCCCCACCCCCAGAGGGATGAACAACAGAAAAGTGGGTGAAGGGAGACAGCAAATGATGTAAGATATGAAAATATAATTTATCAAGGGTTCGTGGGGGAGGGGGGAAGGGAAATGAGGAGCTGATATCAAGGGCTCAAGTAGAAAGAAAATGCTTTGAAAATGATGATGACAACATATATATAAATATGCTTGACGCAATGGATGTATGTATAGATTGTGACAAGAGCTGTAAGAGCCCCCAATAAAATGATTTAATAATAATAAAAAATAAGCATGTCCAAAGTCCTCTTACAGGTATTTCTGAGAGCCCCTTGAAGAGAAGGATGAGTGATGTATTTTGTTCTATAATCCTTGATGCTTTTGTTATCACCCCAATAATTTTTAGTCGCTTAAAGAGGAAAAAAAGCGAAGACTTCTTTCTCAAAATCTTCCTTTCATCAAAAAGTAAAATACAGATCTGTCCACTGACATTTTAGGAGGATGGAGTTTGGGGTTTTCTTTTTTTACTGATACTCCCAGAAATGTCTTTGCTCACATAAAAAATGAATCACCACATTACCTCATGCTTGAAATTTTTCCAGACTTGAAGCTGGTGTCAGCAAAACACTATAAAAACATTGCTCCTTCTCTTGCAGTAATTAAAGTTTAATCTGTGGAATCAAATAAAGTCACACAGCAGTCATTTACTGAATTAGAAAGGACTCTCTCTCCTTTAACCCACCACTCTCAAAAGTGTTAACATCTTCCAAAGAATTCAGCAAATAGAAAACAGTGAACTGTTTAAACAGTAACAACAACAACTTTCCTCTTGCATCTGACCAATGCAGGCCACGCCCTTGCCTGCCTTGCAGGAGGTTAAGCCTAGTTTATGGCCCCAAGTTACTCATATAACTAAGAGTAGTTAAAAACAAGGTAGTAAACAATTGAAATGAGTTGCTTCTCTGTTTTACTGTTTCAAGAATACTAAGAAGTCGTGTTACTCTTATACCTCTTACACTATGCAATCTTGCACTGGAGTTTTTATGGAAACTTTATGATTTCATGCTGTACGGCATATAGTCACTATGAGTTGACAGCTAACGACGACCACAAATGTGATTCACAAGTGAAGCACACCAAGGATCGTTGCCCCAGTGAAAATCATTTGCCTATTGTTATTTTGAAATGTATTCCATAAAGGCCTTGTAATATGGAGCGCCCGGGACTCACAGTCCTTCCATTCTGTGAAAGAAAGAGAAAGGAAGCAAAGAGAGAAGAAGGGTAAGAGGAAGGAAGGAGGGGATGGAGGGAGGAAAGAAGAAGAAAGGGCATGAAGGGAGAAAGGTAGGAAGAACACAATTCTATAAAGATAAAAGATAAGATGCGTCTAACTCACTTCTGCTGGGCCAGAGGCAGGCTGTTTGTGTTTGTAATTCATAGTTGTGATCTCCAGTTCAGATTTTGCATAGCCATATTGATCGGAAGCAAAACCAAGGTAAATACCGGGTTTGGAATCAGCTGACCATCAGTGGTCATGTCCTTCCTTTCCTACCCATGTAATACAAGCTACTGACATATCATTGATTCCGTAGGCAAGCTCCTCTGTGGATGTTGACACTGCAAGAGGGAAAGGCCTGGGTTCGTTTGGTTTTGCCTGCTGTAGAAGAGATGCTGGTAAATGAATGTATGAAATGGTGGCATAGCGCAACGTTCATGAAAATGTTCCAGGATCTTGCAATTCCACTTTTCCACAAACTGTTTGAAACCCCCTTGTAAAAGAAAACATTTATGTTCTTTCTCTGGGAAATTTACATTAAAATATTCCTGCTGAGTGAACCCTGAGCAGGAATATTTTAATGTAAATTTCCCAGAGAAAGAACATAAACTCAGGGTTCCGTATAGCAATAATGAAACTCACAACTTTCCTCTAGCTCTTAAATGCTTCCTCCCCACAACTACCATGACCCCAATTCTGCCTTGCAAACCTGGTTAGACCAGAGGATGCACAGCGGTACAGATGGAAACTGGAAACACAGGGAATCTAGGACAGATGAACTCCTCAGGACCAGCGGTGAGAGTGGCGATACCTGGAGGGAAGTGGGGAGTAGAGTAGAAAGGGGGAATCGGTCAGAAGGATCTACATATAACCTCCTCTCTGGGGGATGGGCAACAGAAGGGTGGGTGAAGGGAGACGCCAGGCAGTGTAAGATAAGATATAATAATAATTTATAAATTATTAAGGGTTTATGAGGGAGGGGGGAGCGGCGAGGGAGGAGGAGGGGAAAAAGGAAAATGAAGAGCTAATTCCAGGAACCCAAGCGGAAAGCGAATTTTGAGAATGATGAGGGCTACAAATGTATAGGTGTGCTTTACACAATTGATGTATGTATGGATTGTGATGAGTTGTATGAGCCCCAATAAAATGATTTTTTAAAAGAATTTTAAAAAAGCATTGGGCAAAAACCTCAGAAATAAAATAGAAATAAAAACTTTTGTCTAAAATGGCAAACTTCTGGATAAATAAACACCCAAAACTATCCCCCAAAAAAATATTCCTGCGGACTTTTTCAGTATGACATTCCGGAGACTTCTTTGTGGTGATTGTGGTCAAACCAGATCACCCTCTAGTCCTCATTACGGCTGCTGTATTACACACTTCCACGACATTAGTTTCCTAATTTCTCCTTAGCTCCTGATGCACTGTCGCTCTTCAACGCTGTTGTGATGTGCCAGAGTCCCTTCCAACCCATACTTCGGCCCTCATTCTTGATGGCCTCGGGGTGGGTAGGTAGGTGGGTGGATGGATGCATACGGGATTGATGGAGAGATAGAAGAGCAATTCCAAAAAAATTTCCCTTCACCATGGAGTCGGGGGAGATGTGAGTTGGCAATTCAGGAGAGAGCTCTGAACCCTCCCAGCATCTTCTGGATTGAGCGTTCTCTTTATTGATGGTAATTCCATCCTACTTGTTAGCTCAATCCAAATTGCGTGGAAAGATCCTGGACTCCTTTTTCTTACACGGTGCATTTAATTCTTTTAAAAGAATCCTATTGACTCTACCTTGAAAATGATTTAGAATTTTTTTAATCCAAACTCCCTAGACCTACGGTCTCCATCTTGGCCAGAGTCAGTGTCTTCTCTCACAGGAATAATAGCAATAGGCTCCTAACCGCTCGCGCCGCCTCCCACCCTGAGTTTCCTACATTCTGCTCTCAACACGGTAGCTGGAATTTTTCCTTCAAAAACATGAGGTGATGGACAACAGAAAAGTGGGCGAAGGGAGATGTCAGACAGTGCAAGAAATGACAAAATAATAATTTATAAATTATCAAGGGTTCATGAGGGAGCGGGGAGCGGGGAAGGAGGGCAAAAATGAGGAGCTGATGCCAGGGGCTTAAGTGGAGACCAAATGTTTTGAGAATGATGAGGGTAATGAATTTACAAATGTGCTTTACACAATTGATGTATGTATGGATTGTGATAAGAGTTGTATGAGCCCCTAATAAAATGATTAAAAAAAACCAAAAACATGAGGCAAGATCATAGCACACCTCTAAATAAAACCTCCTCCGTGTTTTCCCATTTTACTTAGAGGCAAAGCGGGGTCCTGTCTCTCCCATTACACCTCCAACCTCACACCCTATGGCTCTCCTCTCACTGGAAATCTGCCTGTTCTGTGCCCAGACCACTCAAGGCCTATTCCCAGTTAAGGCCTTCACTTTGAGTCTACCCTCTTCCTGAAACATTCTTTCCAATCACAGCTGGCTCACTCCTCAAGACCGCCAAAGCTCTTCATGGGTCAGGTTCTCAATGAATCCCACCAGTCACTCTATTTAAAGTTGTGTCCCGCACGCGCTCTCCTAATGCTGTAACTCAATATTGCACATACTTCTCTTATGGAGCATGCTGTTTGTTTTCCTTTGCCCCACACTGAAATATGAACTGCAAGAGGTCGGGTATTTTTATCTTTGCAATTTCCCATGTCCTTAGCAGAGTACCTGGTATGCATTGTACACTCCATTTCTGAACGAATGAATGAACATACTCTGTTTTCAGGCGCTCTTGGGTTGACTGACTCGAAGTGACTCTCTACAACAGAACAACACACTGTCGGGTCCTGGGGCCTCATCAAAAGTGTGCCCATGTTTAAGGCTCATGTTGCAGTCACTGTGCCAGTCTATCTCCGGGATGACCCGCTACTGGTTGAAATGAAGGAGGCTTAACGAGTAACTTTAATGCTAACTTGGCGAAATTGGGAATCACAAAGTGAGATGGGACACGTCAGGCTCCCATGAAGAACACAGTCTGAAGAGCCGTCCTTAATCGGCAGACCACGTGAGCGCCCGCCAATGGAGGCGAGCAAAACCACAGGACGGAGCAGCAGCACGGGATGTGCGGTTAGCAGCTCTGACGGGGGAGGGAGGCAGGGCCATCCACCTTCCTCTGGACTTGGTTAAAGTTACCTGAAGGAAAAGTGGAGATGGAATATGTTTGTTAAAGGCCAACAGGAAAGGGCTATATGGACTCAACTCCTTTTGAGTGAATGGCAGAAATCTCATTCAGAGTGTTTTAAAATTTGTGGTTACGTATTTTTTTATTCTAAATGCTAATCATTTGGTTTCTCCCCCAAATACAGACTTTAATTTTGTACATGAATAAATAACAGAGAAAGTTTGAATCACATTATTGTCTTTGCCCAAACATTTCTCCCTTCCTTGGCATTCTTCCTCCTAGGCAACCTTAGCTCCATCTTCAGTTCTCCCCTTTCCCACGTGCTAACATCTGGCCTGTCTCCCTTCAAAATCTGTCATTCCACAATGATGCCCTTTTCTCCGCTCCCACAGCTATCCCGCAGCCCATATCCCCAGGCCTTGAGTTGAGATGAATATAGCCTCCCAGCTCTCTTCAGTCCTCTGGAAGCCTGCCTTACACAGCCTGACACCACGCTCCTTCTTTTCAGTAGATTGGATCCCTGCCTAAAAACGCCACAGGCTCTAGTCCCTAACACCGACTCTCAACTTATCTCCTCAAACATCAGGGGTCACACCACCTGGCGCCCTCCAGGACAGTGGACGTGCAGGTTTGGCTTGAGCCCCACTGGACTCCTGACTGGATCAGTACCATATGCCCATTCCGGGCCCCGGGCTTTCTCTCCTCTGGTTTCTCTCGTCTGCCTGCAGGACTGCTGTCATCCGCTCCACACATCGAAGGCCATCTCAGCCTCTAAGGACAGGCTTTTCTTGCAACCCTACTTTCACTGACCTCTGCCTTCATTGTGTGTTAACTGCTTCACCTAGTTCCAGCTAAGGTTTTATAGTACGATGGTGAGCTCTGGTAGTAGGCTCCAGACCCTCTATGTTCCCCATAGTCCGGACTCTGTACTAAAAGCATGATGTTATTGTTGTTGTTAGTTGTGTGGCGCTGATTCTGATCCGTGGAAAGCCGACGTGTACAGATTAGAACAGACTAGAGGAGCTTTGATGAGTAAATCTCCAGCCTGTCTGCCAAGGGATCTCCGAATGGCTTCAAGACGTCAACTCGTCAGCTGACATTTGAGCACTTAACCATCTGGGCCACATGGAACTCCTAAATGCATGACAGGAATTCGATCAATTCCATATCGATTTTAAGGCACAGTTTCCCCTCACATTTTAATCTAAAATCGGGATTCATCTCATCCTCAACACCGCCGTACAATCCCCGGCAGCAGGCAACAATGGTGATCCAGGTTCATCGCCTGTGCATGTACGGACTTGGCCCATATGCGCATATTGTGGTTACTTCCATCAGCTCAGTGTCTTCGTAGCACTGTCAGTGTTGAGTTTAATTTCCGTTTTAAAATATCTTCAAAAAGTTTGAGCTATGATTTGATATCGAAATGAACAGTTATTATGTATGCAGAAATATACCAAAACAGAGCAGCAAGGGGTACATCTGATATCCGTGAAGCAAGTCTTCGTTGTTGGAGGAAACGTCTGCACAGCGAAAACCAGCTGCTTTGTGGGACCTAAGACCTGGGGATGCTGACAAGCAGAGGGGAGCTGTGTTACAGTTCAGAAGGCACAAGCCAAAGAACTGCCTTTGAGATGCCACCAATGCGATTGAGGGCAGACGAACACACCACAACCCTCAGATTGATTAAGTCATTTTCAAAGCAAAGATAGGCCGTTATGACTGATCCATATGTTTCGTTGACTGATCTTGCAGTATTTTGTCACAGTGTAGTAGTCATTTAATAGTGTATCTTACAATCGATGACATCTCAGACTCAACACAATAGCGTATGTGCGTATTCTATTGAGTAGATGGCTTGCCTACTGGCTTGATGGTGTGGTGAATTTCTTTCAGATCCAGTATCATTTTATTCATTTATAGTTGAAGGGCCCTGAGTCACAGTTCCTTCCTCCGGCTGTGTGTGGGGTTCGGTGGCTTGTTTTTTCAGTTCTACTTTCAAGCTTTAGGCACTTGCTAGACCACAGAAATGAAGGGAAGTGCTTACATCCCCTCTACGAAGGCTAGAATCCCCTCTACCGATGTTAAAGGTGTGAGTCTATAATGATTTTATTATAAAACCAAATCCACCTTCTACTAGTTCAAAAATAATATGTTTAATTACGGTGCTTCCACTCAAGGTAGAAAGCTATGGTAAGGATGGACAATTACTAGTGACTACGCGTTCACTTTTAGCAGACTACCAGAACTGTACCCCACATGGTTTCCTGACCTTAGAAAAATATGAAGATTTGTTTGCATCAAATAAAGTAATTCCCCAAAACCTAAATCCTCTGTTTTTATACTCTGCTTTACCTTTTGGCACCACCGTCCTCAGGTGTGGTCACCCCAGAAAACAGAGACGGTGAGGTAAATAATTTGTACTCACATTATTCCTCTGTGAAACAATATCCTAGAAATTCTGCACTTCGTGTCCACGAGTGGCAGCCTGGCGTTTAAAGGGGGAATCCCTTCTTTCAGGAGCGCAACTCGTTACATGTGCTTACGTTTACCTTCTTACTCTCAAGCTTTTGGAGTACAACTTGGTAATTTGCTTTTTAAATATTGTTCTAAAAAGTGGGCAAGCCTCAGTTCTATAGTATCGCTTTCCTGGAATTGTCTTCTTTCACCTTCTAAAATGGAACTCATCCATGTCACCCACTTCTAATACAGTGGCAAAATTATTCTCTCGTGGTGACCTCATCTTTGCACTCTTTCTGTCTTACCTGAAGGAGCTGCGGTCCGAGGTAGAACTGGAAGTTTTGGGAGATACGGAGGGCCTCAACCTGTCATTCACCGCGATCTGCAACAATCGCACCCTCTTCCCACACCAGAAGAAATGCTCTCACATGAAGGTGGGAGACATAGTAAGTAGATGGCTACTATGTTACCTGAAAATATATTCACAGGGGTTAGAGATTATCTTACTGCCCTGAAACCGGACCTCTCCTTTTCAGAATTTCAAAAGGTTTCCTAATAAACGCTCTTCACCAAGTTGACCTCCACCCAGCTTTGCTTCTCCCCAGGTGT